TTGGAGAGTTTCCGTTGTTGTTCACAAAATGACAGAATGTACTTACGTCTTGATATTTTTTATTTTAAATTAACTTAGTATTCCCATCAAATGGAAAAAACTCTTCGTCCAATTCCTTCGGTGCTAAAATCGTGCTTCCTAGTATTCTTTTGGTGTACTAGGTAAGTTACGGCTTCTAATTAGAAATGCAACACCTGCCTTTGTCATGTTGTCAGTCACGTCGCTTTAGTAAGCCTCATGTCTTTATGAAGCGAAAATAAAATGAAACTTTAATAGACAAAGGAAGCTCGCAAAATAGTAGAGATAGTCATAAACATGAAAAAAAAAAACAAAATAACGCAAAAAAAATATATTAAGACATATGAGTCAATATTGTTTTTTGCAGAAGACAACATCTGGTGAGGGCCACAGGATGACACTTTGACACCAAATATTGTTCCCAAAAATTCCAAAATTTCTTGCTACTACTAGTCTTAAAAAAATTATTTACGAAAAAGAAATATAAATAAATATAAGAAATATATATGAAATAATTTCAAGACCACTGATTATAAATATTTGACAATACTCGAACCAGCTGTATGATCAGCCAATTCGAATTATTGCAATTCAGTATTGTTCGAAACCTCTCTATTAAATACAATAATTTCTTCTAGCAAGAAAATAGTTCGTACCGTCATGACGCCCATTATTTTGCATAAAGTTGTCTTGTTATGTACGTAATAAATGTATATAGTCTAATAAGGGTAAAAAGTTTTTTTTAACGATGATGAACGATTTTTTGGGTGTGGTATTAGGCAGAATGCCGTGAAATAATTGGTGCATGTTTATTATAACATACGTTTTTTTTTTGGCACCAAAACTGAACCTTCTACCTATTATAGTTTTTGAGAGAACTAAAAAAATGTGACAATGTCCAATTTTTCAACCAAAATTTGAAGGGGTTTCGGTAGGCCGATTGTCAAATCAAATTTGATTCAAAGGGAAGGCCATCTCAAAAATAAATTTCTGGTCAATATCTCTACTAGTTCAGAAAATATCGAATTTTGACCGGCTAATGTCTGTTTTGGCACACTATGCGTCGTAACTGACGTTAAAATCAAATTTAATATAGAAAATTTGCATACATATATCTATCATTATGTGTTATGTATATGTATATATACTAGTGCTGTTCATATTCGAATTTACGAAGTATTCGAAGAATTCGCATATTCGAATAGTAAACGAAGTCTTCGAAGTTGAAAAAAACTTCGAAGTTTTTTCCAACTTCGAAGACTTCGTTGAAATGCGAATATTCGAATATTCGAAGAACTTCGGGTTTTTAAAAACTTCGAATAATGTGAACAGCACTAATATACACTATTTCATTGCAAATGCTTTGAACATAATTTCAAGGTATGGGTTAATGGAACTCTATGGTTTCTACGAATTCCCAAAATTGCTTAAGACTCTAATTAGAACTAAAGTTATTTTGTTTTGTTTTTTGGACTTTAATTTTTATTTCGAACGTTTTAGTATATTTTCTATAAATATTTCGGCAAACTCGCTTTTGTCTTCATCAAGAGGATTTCAAGTAGAAAAAACATCTATGCAAGTTATGAACTATTTACACTTATTACAGGTAGATAATTGTTTTATATTTAGTTTTAATTAGGAGGGTTATTTGTTGTTTGTGTCCTTGTGGGTGGACGGGATAGTGACTGCATAGATCTGGTTTTATTGTTCAGGCTCGATTGTGTGTAGGTTTCTAGTTAAAAACCACTTCTATGAATTGTAGTGGGTCAAAGGAATTTAATATATTGCACAAAAGTATAAACATCATGACATTAACATTATTTTTTGATGTAGTTCAAGATATAACGTTTTATATCCTTTAATAATGTAATTCATTAACCTGTAGTACAATAACTGTCCATGATGTGACATAATTATATGATCTTATTAAGCATTATTATTGCTTCAATATTATTTTGACTATTAGGCTCCGCAATTATTTCACATAAAATGAAAATACTAAATTTCATCTCAACATTTATTGTCTTTTAACTGCTTTATTATAATATACACTCTTTTCATTCAATCTACTAAGTGCATAATTTGCGATGATTCATACTCATTATCCTCAGTTAATTTATGCTTCTCACAAACGATTGCGGACATTTCTGAGCCTACATAGCACCAATGAGGGTCTAGAGCGCAGTAAAAATTATTGTAATTAATATTCTAGACATATGGCAACAAAAACTTAAAACACTAAAAAATAATGTTTGTAGTCGTCTATGAAAAACGCGTAATGTGCAACAAAATGCTGCATGCTTTAGCCGCCAGGAGTTGTTGGATTTAAACTGTCACGTTTTTGGCAAAAAGCGAAGGCGTTTCATAAAACGTCAAACCACAAAGTTACCACCTATAAACAAAAAACAAAAAACAAAAAAAATAAAATATAAAATAAAATTCAGAAGAAAATAAGTTAAATATGAGTACGTATTAATCAAAAATTTAGTAACTAACACCAATGGCTGCACAATATTCACTGCCATTGTTGTTACTGCGTACGCGTTTTTGAAGCTGCAACAAATCGTTGCAACATCAATGCACTACTTTATCATTATGTCAAAAGTTGTTGCAAGTGCTGGAAAACCTAAGATTTGTTTTCTTCTTATTCATTGCTATTTTCTCTAGAAATAAAAACATAAATAAATTCCAAATTGGAAACCAACATTTCAGCGGCAGAGCTGGCCGAGCTGACCGACAACATGTTGCACAATCAATGCCACGTGAAATAGATTCTTATCAGCAACATCAGCACAACAAGCAACGCAGTAACGCAGTAACGCCATGTAATGTAATCGCAGTAAATTATTGCATTGTTACAAGCAGCAACACTTTTGTTACTACAATTGTGATGCACGTTCCCGTTGGCAATGTTGCTGGCACTGTTGTTGCTTTATGAAAGTGCAATTTGTCTTTGACTGCATTTATCTATTTATCTTGCTAGCGCATTTTGTCCAGGCGTTCGCCGAAGCCATCAACTCTGAATACGATAAGATGAAATATCTTTCGAATATTTATGGCATGGGTTTCTTTAGTGCAGATGAGGCCCCAAAACGTGGTCACTATTGCAGTTGGCGCTGCAACGACTTCGTTTGAGCGCAACTTCATCTGAACGCGACGTCATTGTAATCATTTTTTTTTTGTATTGTTGCTGCCTCTTGCAACATAAATACTATGATTATCGTAATTAGAAAATTTGTAACAGCTAGCAAAGTTGCCAATTCGCATCACCTCAATGCCTCAATGCCTCGATGCCTCGGTGCCTCGGTGCTTCAATGCATCTTTTATATTGTGAGTTATTTCCGACTTTTGAGGTTATGCTGTGTCAAGCGAAATTATACTCTATGCAGATGATACTTTATCATGCAATATTTTTGTGTTGCCGACACTAAGAACAGGCCGTTGAAGGACGGAAACAGTTATAATATGTATAACTTAGTAGTGAGTTAGTCTGATATTAGAGAGTAACTGGTTTTAAATTAAACTTTGTTGTGTCATGATACAAGTTCAACACGTTTAGCATCAAATAGTACGGCCCGCCAATAAGCCTAACCAAGGTTAACCTAACAGCTTTCAAAACGGCTAGTAGAATGTTGAGCAACTTTTAACCTTTAAGAAATCAACAATATGTATAAAAAGAGATTTGGCGAAAAGTTGGGAGTTGAAACTCCACGCTTTGCATAACGTTAGAGCACAGCAAAGATGTGCTACTTACGGAGCAAAGTCAGGAAATTATACTTGTGTTCACATCTAAATGAGATATTGTTTTTATAACTCTGAGAATAAAAATAAATAATGAAATATTTCAATGAACGTTTTTCACTTGTTAACATCGAAAAAATTTTAGCATTTCCTATGCAAACTCACTGATTCATACAGCAAAATGGATTAAAAAATAATTAAGTTGGGGTAAGTTCCTAACTTAGGGTCCTATTAGTCCATTGTCTTACTTTATAAAATCTCAGACATTTAAAAATCACATTGAATCTTAGCAAAGCTTCAAATGCGCCTTAGAAAAAGGTCCTGATATTTGACAAGGTCCTCAAAAAAAAAAGCGTCTAGCAAAGCCTATTGATACTGGAAACATGAATACAATGGATGTATTACATGAAGATATGAAGATCTGAAAACATTGATTCTATCATTTTGATATCTCTTATCTAGGATATATAAAAAGTAATAAATACATATATGCATATTTCATTAATTAAATATATCTGCAATATGTAACATATATTGTAGTAGAGATAAATGTAGATAATACGAGTATCTAAACACTTTTTACTTAAAATTATTGACTATGATGTAATGGATGCAGGAAGACAAACGTCATCTGTAAGTGTACAAAGGCTTAAAAGTGTTTTAGGCACTAACAGGCTCGACGACGACCCTGCTCAGAAAATCCTTTTTGGCAATTTATATGCTGAGAGACTGCGACGCAGACCACATCTACACTAAAAGAACGGCGTGGATCTGGGCACTCAAAATCGTGGGTATTGGATAAAATTAGTGCACAATTATAATCGATAGTGAAAATTGCTTGAATGTAGCTAAGAACGTATACCGGTTGTCCTGCCAATAATGATAATGTACCATAAATTTTAATTCACTAAGCAAAAAAATGAGTGTAACAAATAATGACAATACACCCAGCAAATTTTATGAGTACCTTATAGTACTCATGCTAATGTTTAGTAACTAAATAATGTAAATAAAAACGGAGCAAAATATCGAAAAAAGCTTTGAAGTTATTGTAGAGAAAAAGCATAGTTTTATACTAAACTACACCTATAAATGAATAATTGTATTAAAAAGAGATTATATTTTATAGTAGAAAAATTTTGTTGGTATATATTTATTAGTATTGGTATTATCTAAAAATGTTTAAAAAGCCTCAAACATTTAGAAAAAACTAAACAAATAATTTCTTTTCTTTTTTTCAGGCTCATGTAGTTGCTGCTTTTGAACAATCGCTCTCGAACATGACTTCACGCTTACAACAATTAACTGCAACTGCTGAGCGTAAAGATGGTGAACTCACTGATATGCGTCAAACTATTGAACTACTTCGCAAGCAATCTATACAAGCCGGATTGACCACAGCTCATATGCAAAGCATGGGTGTTCAAACACAGGGACAAGATCAGAATGATTTACTGGGCAACAAGCCACCACCTTTACCACCATGCATACCCGGTCAGCATATGAGTCGCGTTGTTCAGCATCAGCAACAACAACAACAAGCAGGTAGTGTCGGCAACAACAATAATGGTGCTATACAACGTCACCACAGTTCAGACTCAATGTGCTCATTGAACTCTATTAGTTCGGGTTGTTCAGCACAGGATAAGAAGAAGAAGAAGGGTTGGTTACGCAGTTCGTTTACAAAAGCTTTTTCACGCAATGCCAAAATTTCAAAAACTAGTCGTCATACAGGACATCATGGGGCACATAGTGGCCATGGTGATAGTACTCATGGTCCTCACTCAGGCTTATCTAAAGTGAATGGTCATGCACATGGTGACCCAGTGGGCTTGTCTGCACTTGCAACACAACCAGCACCACCAATTCCAGCTTCACCCACAAAATGCAGTCCAGCAAAGACTGTTACTTTAATTGATAATGCAAAGCCCATTGATGCCATAGAACATGACGATCATCAAGTTGTTGAAGACCTTAAGAAGCAACTGAGAGAAAAAGACTTGGTATTGACTGATATACGTCTTGAAGCTCTAAGTTCTGCTTCACAACTTGAGAGTCTCAAAGAAACCGTCAATAAAATGCGTGCTGAGATGCTATCACTTAAACAAAACAATGAACGCTTACAAAAGTTGGTAACAAGTCGTTCTTTAGCAGGCTCAGAAGCCTCGCTAGGCAATGCGATAAGTCCTAATGGTTCTATCGGTGAATCGCGCCGTTATTCTTTAGCTGATGGTAATTCACGCCCACCTATGGAATTACCAAAACGTTTAGACGAAGAAGTTGAAGAAGAAAATATACCACCTGCACCAGCACCTGAGCCGCCACCGCCGCCACTAAGTCCAACTACACACATCGATTTAACGCCACCTCCTCCTGCACTTGAAGGTATATCCAGTCCAGCACATATATCTACTGCAGTTGAAGAACTACCGGATGTTACAGACGGTAAGAAAATTGCAATAGCGTGCTATTTGGGGCAACCAGAATCATTCGTCAAATACTGCGAAGAAATGCTCGAAGTTGATGAGTTTTACGCCAATAGTTCCATGGCAAGTAGCGTAGATAAAGATAGTAATGAGCGAATGTCATTCCCAACTGCTAGTCCAAATGAGTTTGTCATAGCATATACTTATATATCTGGAAAAACGACTTGGCAGAATTTGGATTATATTGTGCGCAAGACATTTAAGGACTACGTATCGCGTATTGATCCAGGCACAAATTTAGGGCTGAACACTGACTCCATTACATCGTATCATTTAGGCGAAGCAAAACGTGGCCCTGAAATGGGTTTTCCAGAACTTTTGCCGTGCGGATACATTATCGGTAACGTGCGTACACTATACATATGTTTGCAAGGTGTTGGCAGTTTAGCATTTGATAGCTTAATACCAAGAAGCATTGTGCACCGTTATATTAGCTTATTAACTGAACATCGGCGACTTATATTGTGCGGACCAAGTGGTACGGGTAAATCGTATTTAGCACGTCGTCTTGCCGAATTTTTGGTAGCACGTTCTGGACGAGGAAATCCATCAGAGGCTATTGCAACATTTAAGTGAGTTTGTTCAAAGAAAATTATATTTCTTTATATTAAAATTGATTTTTCTTTCAGTGTTGATCATAAATCCTCAAAGGAATTGCGTCAATACCTCGGCCATATTGCCGAGCAGGCAGCTATTGCAAATGGTGCATCTGAATTGCCCTCTGTGATTATTTTGGACAATTTACATCACGCTTCGGCGCTTGGCGAAGTTTTTTCTTGTCTATTGAGCGCAGGTCCTGCAGCAAAACTTCCATGTATAATTGGCACTATGTCCCAAGCTACTTGTAATACCACCAATTTGCAACTGCATCATAATTTTAGATGGGTAAGCACTTGTGTTGTTTATTATGATTAAGTGGGTAACTTTTATTTATCTGTAATTTTAATATGATAGGTATTAACTGCTAATCATATGGAGCCAGTAAAAGGTTTCTTGGGACGTTTTCTACGACGGCGTCTTTTTCAACTTGAACTTCAAACCCAACATCCTCAACCGGAACTGGCAACGGTTTTGGCATGGTTACCAACTGTTTGGCAACATATAAACCGTTTCTTAGAGACTCATAGCTCTAGTGATGTGACAATTGGACCACGTCTATTTCTGACATGCCCACTCGACTTAAAGAATTCACAAATCTGGTTTACTGATATTTGGAACTATCATCTTTCACCATATCTGGTTGAGGCAGTGCGCGAAGGAGTTCAACTGTACGGAAGGCGCGGTGGGGCATGGAATGATCCCTCCGCCTTCATTCGTAATTCATATCCATGGCCGTATGGACCTGATTCAGTGCCACCATTAAGACAAATCAATGCGGAGGATGTTGGATTAGAAGGAGTAGCAGCTAATAATAACGAAAGTCAGGATCCTCTGGTAAGGAACAACAAAAATAGATATATAACTTCGTAACACAACTAATTAAATCTTTATGGTTTTTTTTTATTACTCTAGCTAAATATGCTCATTCGTCTACAAGAAGCTGCCAACTATTCAGAAAATCAAGAACAAGAATCGGACTGCGCTAGCCTCGATTCAAATATCACACCCGACAGTTCAGCCGGTGCAGAATAATATAATTATAAAGCAAATGGCAAATGGCAAATCGCAGTAATAAACAATTAAGCATAAATTTTAAGAAATCAGTAAAAATATTACAATATATTGTAAAGCAGCTTTCCCAAAGTTATATAGAAAACACATATTCAACATTGCATACATATTTACATACATATTAACATATTTACAAATTGCTTATATACATGCTTGCATACTCGTACAAATGCGAATACAAAGTCTGTCTAACTTTTCTATGTGGCATCATTTTTGTATCTTACAGTGTTGTATTATCCTGTATCGTATATTTTGTATATTTTTAATCGAAAGGCGACTTTCATTTAGGGAAACTAATTGCAAACATAAATTTATTATTATGAGCAAAAATGGCCAAATATTTTAAGGCGTGTCAGTGGCATTGCCATATATTTGAAATGTGAAAAGCACTATTTATATTAATTTTATTAAACATGTTCTTAATTAAGACTAACTAAGACTTAAGCCTCTGAACCAAAACCACTTGATGAAAACTTGTGATCTACAAATGAAATGGACTACAACTCTCCACACAATCAGGAGAAGCAATCAGCTGTGTAAATGTCAGTGTATAAAGTAAATAATTTTATACCCAAACTATTAGAGAGTTTTTCTTTAAGTTTTAACAAAAAACCAGATTTAAAAAAAAAAAGAAGTATTGGTTTCAAAGTTTACTGACCCTACTAATTGAGAAAATTAATTAAAACAACAATTTTTAGAATACAAAGACATCAATTACACCTTATCAAAGAAGTCTAAATTTCATTTGTGCTATAATCATAAATACTACCTTTTAATAACAGTATCTAAGTACTATTAGTATAATAAATACTAAATAATTGTATTTTAATTTGAATAATCTACTATTCAAGTTGTTGCATTTGTAGTAGCGTTTCTTTAACTTCCATTATATATGTATATACCTATACATATATTTATATATATAATTATAATTTATATAAGATTACAATTGTAATTAAAGCCAGAAAATCTAATATTCAATATTTGTAAGGTCAACATTCATTAACTTATTTGATCGGTTTCATTATCATCACGTTTAATCAAAAGTACTAAAGGAAAGTAATGAGTAAATAGGATCCGACCTATATACTTTAAATTTTATAATTATTGTTTTAATAATATTTAAAATATTTTGCTTTCATTTATAAAATCATTATATCAACAGTTTTTATATTTTCTTCTTTTAATTTTTTACAATTATATTTATGTTTATATTTATTATGTTGTATTTACGTTTATAAATATATATCATATTTATTTATAATATTATATATATCAATATATAATTATTTGACATATTGATGAAAAAAAAATTTTTTAAATTTATCCGAGAAAGTTCAGTTTTTTATATAATAATGACAAAACAAATATATATATATATATTTATTGTGTTTTGCATTTTTCTTTTTACAAATATTTCTATATACATATATGTATATGGATGTAAAATTATTAATTTATATTTACATATAAAATTTTTATATTAATTTATAATAATATATTGTTGTCATATTTTATTTATTAATTATTTTAGTTCTATATTATAATTTTTTTAACTTGATATGTTATGTGTATTAAATATATTTATACTTTCTATTTTTACCAAATTTTTAATATGTTTTATTTTGTTAATGAATTATAATATGATATGTATGTTTCTATATTTTTTTTATATAAATTTATTAATGACATTACTTTTATTTTTTATTGTATTTGGTATTTTTCGTACAAATACATAAATGTTTCACATATATATTATATTTGTATTATATATTTATCATATATACTTATCATATATATTTATATATTATATTTATATGCTATATTTATATATTTTATTTATATACTATATTTATATATTATATATATATGTTATGTTTATATACTATATTTATATATATTATATTTATATATTCTCTTTATATACTATATTTATATATTATATTTGTGTTATATAATTATCATATATATTTATGTATTGTGTTTATATTATATATTTATATTATATATTTATATTATATATTTATATTATATATTTATATTATATGTTTATATTATATATTTATATTATGTATTTATATTATATATTTATCATATATGTTTATATATTATATTTGTATCATGTATTTATTATCTTTGTAATATATATTATACTTGTGAAATATATTTGAATATGTATTTATATATCTAATTATATTTATATATGTATTTATATTTATATATGTATTTATATTTATACGTGTATTTACATTTGTGTATATATTTGTATATATATTCATATATTTATTTATATATGTATTTGTATATCTATTTATAAATATATTTATATATATGGAAATGTCGGTGAAATATTAATAAGAACACCAAAGATGGGTGGCAGTAAATATCAGAGTATGTTTAAATATTGTATATGCAATTATTATTTCTTTTATAACATTAACTTGGTCCTTCTTTTAATATTATCATGATTTTATTCAAAATTTGTTACGTTCAAAAATTAATATTATTAAAATATAAAATTATCAAATTGGAAGGTAGTAAGTTGGAACCTAAAGCAAATTTCAAAAGGTGTATATTGGTTTCTGGGCACTATAAACAGCACACAAATAAAATTTCTTGCACTCCTTTCTCTAAAAAAAAGTCCACTGAAAGCAGTTATTAAAGAAAATTTTATTTGCTACATAAAATATGAATTTCGAAAATATTAACTATTATTAAGAAACAAATATTGACAAAAAGGAAAAAATTGCACTTTTTAGCGCACTTGTTAAAAATGCAAATTTTATTGCACTTCACCTGCAGGCGAACTACACTACGAAATCGTACTGCAAAACTGTACACTGTAAAAATGTATACAATTTTATTATATATGAAAACTTTTGCATATCGAATATATGTAATGCTCTCTGGCCCGTCTTACATTTAGTTATTAGATACATTGATAAATTGCTTTTTATAAGAAATAATCAATTACAAGATAATAACTATTATTATATTATAATTATTATAATTAATATTCATCCAAAAGTTATAAACATATTAACATTAAATGTTAACATTGTGAAATGTCACTAATATTTCAAAAATAATTAATAAAATAAAATAAGTTCAACATAGTTTTTAATTAATAAAAACCAAACATGAAGCATTTTTTGTAAATAAATTCATACTTAACCGTAAGCCAAATGAAATGATAATATCGAAACTGAAGCTCAGTTTTAGTAGTTAAAATGTCGCTATATGCACTGGAAGAGATAGTCTATATCTATTCTATATCTGAAAAAAAATAACTATTTTCCAGTACTACACACTAAATTGAAATATAATAAAAATTCGCTAAATTCAAATTTGTTTCAAAGAGAAAATAAAAATAAGCAATCAATATATAAAAAATGATTAAAAATAATAATAAAAAAAATTATTTAAGAAATTAAATGGTTATTGATTTAATGATTATTGATGCTATTAAACTCAATATAAAACAATTATTAATATTTATTGATAATACCTTAACTGAATATAATTTAACGATTTATATATAAAATAATATTATAATTGATACTTTATGTAATATTTATTTTTAACGTCACATATTTTATTTATAATTAAAAAAAAAATCAAAAATTAGAATTAAAATTAAAATTAAAATTAAAGATAAAAACAAAAAGTTACGCTGGATACTAAAAATGTTTATTAATATTATAAAATTATGTTGCATAATAAATGCCAATCTAGAAAGATTGAATTAAAAAAAATATATAAAGAATATTAAATAAAAAACTTTTGTTATGAATATTTTATATCGAAAAGTCTATCAATTATAAAAAAAATTAAAAACTACACATTGATTGATTTATTCCGATTTTATACATAAAAATATCTAACCATATATATAATAAAATTTTATTTTCGTCTTTAAAATTCTCTTAGCTAAAATTATTTCATCAACACTAAATAACATTTTATTTTAAATAATTTTAATTTTACAATTTTATTCGAAACAAAAATTATAACCGTAAATAAAAAAATTTATTGTAACAAATATAAAGAAATTTATAGTTAATATATCTTAAGAAGATAAACCCACGATGCATTATAACTATTATTACTAACATACATTACTGAGAATATTTCGTAATTACATTTATACATACTTAAAAATATATATATATATATGTGGAATATTTATTTATATATATATTATATATTAACACTCTTGATGGATATGTAAAATCAAAACTAATAAAATAAAATAATACATTAAAAAAAGATGGAAAAAAATTTATTTGGCCACTAGTCCAAATGTTAATAATTAGAGGAAGACAGTGTAACCTCGGGTACTTTCAGAGGCAACAATTTTTTTTATTTGCAAACTACAAAAATTAAAAATAATAAATGATAAATTAATAATTAAATTGTAATAAAACTGATTAATTTAATGCAAAAAGTAACATTAAGTATTTTAGATATTATGTTGATTTCTGTAGTCACTGCCACAAAGACCAGGCAACAACAAGCAATTAACTGGGACCTAGTATTTTAAGTCCATTACTCGTAATACCCATACCAATTGTTAGATTTTTCGATAATCTGACTTAAATGTAAAGCAGAAAAGATCTTAGATTAAAACATAGTGCTATCATAAGGGATATGATTTTGATATGTCAATTGATAGTTTGTAGTCATGGCTACATGACGTTAGCCAAATACAAATGGCTATTCTCTGTATACATATTCTATCAACTATTCCGTTCTTTAGTTGCAAGAGAATAGATTAAATGTAACCTTGTTTAGATATGCATTAGTACTCTCAGAAGAGAAGATTTGGTAATAAATTGAATTAAAACGAAGTAAAAGATAACGACTGGCACTTCTGGAGTAATTAATATAATTTTATCATGTCTGTATCTTCCTGCTAACCACCGGTTCTTCAGTTGTAAATGCAGATGAAGAATTCAAAGCTAATTTTGAAACTTCCAGATGAGGAAATCTAAACTAAATCTGTAGTCTACATCTCATTCAAGTTAGTTTATAAATGTAAAAGAATATTTAAATTATTAAGCAAGAGCTCTAAAATAAACTCCAGTTTGGGTCTGATCGAGTAAATCAGGAAACAAATACACACTTGAGCTAGCGCGATATAGAGGCTCTTTAATAGAACACGGGAGGATCAATGTCTGTTCTTGTTAGTGACAGACTAATATTGACGTATGATCACTTTTTGGTCTGATATCATGTATCAATATTGGTATTATATATATTGTATTGGTCTGAGTATATAAACCATGTCAATGATGATAAATATTCAAATATTAAAGCCTCCCTCACTTGGTTATATCGGTTCTTACGGAACACTAAATTAAAGCACGATATGGAACTAGACTAAGTCTGCCATTTCAAAACTACTGTAGATTACATTTTCATCTACCACATTCATATTTACAATTTTATGCCGTCAGAATTGACAGTTTGTGTTATATTATCCCAATTTTCAAAAAGTTTGCACCGTGCGATTGGTTGGACTCCAGCTCAAATAACAGATCATGCTGTGATTTTTTCTGAATAGAATAGTCTTTTAACAGTTACTTGCAAATTTTCACCATAATGTGCACCTAATTAAATTTGAACTTTCCAAATATCTTAGATCTTCATTAATGCAAAATCTATTTTTTTAACAAAATTATTTAATTCCGTAATTTATTTGCTCTTCAATATAGCTCAAAA